GTCTTGAGTCTGATGGCAGCTAAACTCGCTTCTTGTTGTATATGTAGATGAAGCGGGGTTAGCTCCAGCATCGCTTCTAAGGCTGCTGTTGGCGTAGTCCTTATTCAGCCTGGGGCAGCCATACATGCCAGTCTCTGGTAACGCTGAAGCTTCTTTATGGTGGTGGCTTCGTTTGTTTTGGTCCACCATTCCAGAGCACCGTATGTGATCATGGGCCAAATTACAGTTTTCTATAGCCACAGTATGATTTTTGGCGTCAGACCCCATCTTTTGCCAATCATGTTTCTGCATTGCAAGAAAGTTATAATACCGTTGTTGATTTTGTTTTCTATGTGTTTATTCCAGTTGAGTTTAATATTTCCCAGTGGCCTTTAGAGCCCTCCTAGAGTTCCTGCTTGGGCCCCGGGATAGCCTACCTTTGCTGGGGTAGCCGTAGGCCGTATCAGTATGTATTAGAAATCGCAGCAGGATTCAACCGAGGCAGCTTTTCTTTTCTGTTCTGAAGTAAATACATCTATCTGTTTCAAACTCAATGCCAACACGCAGCGTGCATACGCCTTCAACAGTACGATCCTGCTGCGGCTCCAGCGGCGGCCGCGCCTCGCTTGTTCAGTCAATTCATCAGCATTTCCATAGATATACTATGTAAGGTAGGCAATTCGATCAAACACACTTAGCGAAAAGTCATGTCACTCGTTTCCGCGCCACAACCGAACGCAAATTGTAGAAAAATTTATCAATCAAATGAAAAATGAAAAAGTTTTAGCCCCAAATTCGCCGCCCTAGGCTCCAGCCTACTCAGCCTGCTGGTAAATCCGCCACTGTCTTTCGGTCAAAGTTGAACTTAAGTAAGTTCAACAAAAAATAGTCCGAATATAGTCTAAGATCCGGCTAATTAAAATACCCCTAATTTTTTTCCTTGATGAAATATTTTTTTTTTATAATAAAATATACAAATAAATACACATCGGGATGATTGACAGCCTATATTTTGGCAAGGCTATTTTTAATTAAAATTATTTAATAATTTTTTTACCGGTTACGGTCATTCTTTTCCTTGATAAAATTGGTCTCAATCGAGAAACACATATATCATAACATATATAAACACATGTATATAAAAATTACGTGTCACGTTGTTTGTCCGCGATGGACTCCTAAACTACTGAACTGATTTCAATGAAATTTCGCACACTGTGTTCATTTTGGTCCAACTTGAGAGATAGGATACTTTTTATCCCGATAAATGACCCTCAAACATTTTTATTGCTAATTTAAGGATTTTTATAGGAAGGGTCGTTGGAAAGTGCAGAACAACGTCTGCCTGGCGAGCTAGTTATATATCGGGTGTCCAGTAATGAATGGATAACCTTGAAATGTCTTATAGTACAACTTATGGCCGTTCTGAAAAAAAATACGAAACATAATATATCACAAGTAGTACCTTTGATGTATTTTTTTTTTATAGAAAAGTCGATTTTTTTCTATCTTATTTTACTGTCTCTCTGAACACTATGACCAAAAATGAATGATTTCTATTGTTTTTTTGTTGTTTTATTATTATACACTAACTGTGCTGATAGATAAAAAGTAAACAGTATGAATAGCTTGTGCAGTTTTTATTTAAAAAATTCGCAAATTAATTTATTTCTGAAAAACATGCAAAAAATATTATTTAAGCGAAGTTCAAACCTCTTGGGTATGAAAAAATATATGAATGTATGGGTGACCAATAATTTTACAATAATGTCGGTTTCATTTAGATTTTATAATGGTATAATTCATAATGTGTCTTCCATAAATAGTGACTTATTGCCATTAATGTAGAAAAGAAGAAAATTTTACTAAGTAACAAAATTTGTAGTATGGGAACATTTTTTAAATTGAAGCAATGAGTTATTTTCTCAGTCAATACGCAGAGATGCACTATTTCTACGGCGTTGCCCAAGGAAACGGCTCATTAGCGGCACGGCTTTATTGAGAGCAACTGGAGCGGCGAGGAGGATTTTTAAGTTTCGATTAAAATTATTGTATCTTCGGTGAATGTTAGGAAGCTAATTATTTTATGCAAAATAGGGCAACTCATAAGGATCATGCTACAAACAAGAAAACTTGGAAATAATCTCAAAATTACATTTTTTTTTAATGTTAGGCTGTTTAGGGTGAACATTTTCAAAAAAAGGATTAAAAAAATCATAATTCAAAAACTACAAAAAATCGCGTAACATACATAGGGTATTTTCGGATACCCCTAGGTGTGAGGAATCAAAAAAAAATTTTATAACCTCACTGTTTGGACCAACCTATATATATATATATACACACACATTTAGAATAGCCTACTGGTGTGTGTTGCCAGTGATGACATATGGATCTAACCCGTGGCCCATGAATAATGGCTGTATAAGAACGCTCAGTCGCTCAGCGAGCTATGCTAGATCTAAAAATTAGGAATACCGCAGTCGAACCGGAGTAACCGACATAGCCTAACGAATTGTTAAGCTGAAGTGGCAATGGGCCGTCCATATAGCTCGAGGAACCCATAACCGATGGGCGACGGGGAAAAAAGGGTCATGAGTGGCAACTCGCATATGTAAGCGAAGTGTAGGGCAGCCCCGCAATAGATGGAGACTTGATAAGGCGGACGACCAGGTAAGATATAATAGGGTTGACGAGATCCTTGTCGATAGTACTTAACGATTTTTTTTTCTATCTTTATCTGTTTACAACAATTTATTGTTAACCATGCAATGCATGGTTAACAATATTCTTTTTTTTATCTGTACCTACTCCAGTTGTCTGACCCATTGGCCCTTTTTAAACTTAAGCGGAAAATATTTTATAAAATGCTCATTCATCATCAATCCTATTGCTGGATAAGTCTATTGCTGGATATACCCCATCCAAGAGTACACCAGCTGGAATGCATTCCAAACATGAATGGGCAAGGGAATCGATGAGCGCAGAGTTATATACTGCTCCCAATCTCGTCACTAATCAATGATACATTCACCATTTTTGATAGCTTTCTGCCATCGGCCAGTAGTCGAACCATATTTGTTGGTCAGTAGGACGCACGGCATCGTGGTGAGGATGACGTTGACATTTTGGGAGAAAGATTTTTTATACAACATAAATACCCACCTATAGTACCCACCTTGGTACTATAGGCTCTTAAATTAAAAAGCTAACTCATTATGGGAGTTCCCGGTCCTCGTCACTCGTACCATAACAAGCAGAAGCATTATGTTGCTATTTTATATTGTTATTCTTTGAGAGCGTGATACCTTCTTCCGAACGCCTGGATTTAAATTATTGTTTCTCTAATGAGAAAGAAAACAAAGGTTTTTGTGGAGTGTTTATATTTTCTTTCTTACGAATGATGTTACAATAATTAAATATATAAAAGTAAGAACTTTCCACAAATCATCTCATGCATGAAGTCTATACTAAAATTCAAATATAAAAACATAAATCACCTCTAAGTGAACCCTGAAAATATACAGTATATTCTTCTATAAACACTTCACTATCGAACACTATTTTGTTGAAGTTGAAAATAATCAACAAAAAAATCTCTGCAATTCAAAACTTGGCAATATAACGAATGCTCAGAGGAAATTGTTTATTTCTGAGAACTAACTCAATGATATGATGTTATTACTTCTTAATTGGTTATAATGCTAATAATTAAAAACAAAAGATACTAGGAAAAACATTTTCACAGAAAATTATCAACTTAAATTATGTATTTAGGCCAAACATATAACTTCATAAAAATGATAGTAAACAAAATAAGTGTTTCCATACATTGGCACTTAAATAAAAATTAATTCCCACAGGTTAAAATATATTTAGAAAAATATATATAATCATTGATTTATCAAAACACGTCATCAAAGCAAAATCATTCTTTAGTAAATATAAAAACCGAAATGTTGATCACTTTTCATCACATATTATTAAAAACAAATCAATATTACAGCAATTTAATAAATTAAAAGAAATAAAAATCGGAACGAAAAGTTTACTAGTATGAGATAAACTAAATTGAACAAGAAATGAACTGAGTTAAAGATGTAATGTTTATGCGTCAACAGCAGAGCTTCAGAGGAACCATTTTAAGACACATAGTTTTGTCATTAGTAATAAGTAAGCACCTTGTTTTCAGTTAATATTGAATTTGTATTTTTTTTAGTTTATAGACTTGTATTAAGGTATTGAGATGGTCCAGCCTCGGTAACTAACATTACAAACCAAACCTTAATAAAGCTATATAAACAATGAACACAGCATATTTTAATCTTATTGCAGGCATATATTGTAACAAATACTGCATCGCACATGTATATATATATATTATACAATATGGCAACAACACGGTTGTATAAGATTGTGCAAACCAACACAAATTCCTCAACATCTATATATTATCTATCGATTTGTAACTTGAACCAATGATTTATTACATTTTATCACACAAAAATAATAATGGTTGAAGAAATTAGAAGGTGAGGATTTTGTAAAATTTAACTTTATCACAATATTTCAGACTTACTTAAAGTTACAATACAGTGAAATATTTTTATATATTATGTATAGAATAGACAGTTAATTAAGTAAACAATATAATTACTACTAAACTAATTATTAACATAGTGTGTTACAATAAACACTCCATCACAGATAAAACAGCAATCACCTGACTTCAAAACAATTATAAATGATACACATCATCAAAAAATTTCCTACATTGTTTTGTTTGCAATATTAATATAGATAAAACTAGACAAAGAGACCATTCTTTCTTTAAAAAAATAAAATACAACATCATTGGGGTACACATTAAACGTTTCTAACAATAAAGTTAACAAAACAATTGCATTGTGGTGATATCGTTCATTAGAACTTCTACATAAAACTAAAAGTTTAACAAATATGCAAATATGGATGTGTTAACAATTTATGTAAGAGTGGTGTTGAGGTTGGCAATGTAAGTCTCACAAAAGCAGGAGGTCAGGTCCGTGAAGTCCCAATCTATACAAGCCTTCAAAATCTTCTAAATCATCCTCATCGTCCAAAAAGTCATCTTCATCTGTGTATAATAATATTACTATTGAAAAAAAAACATGTATACAACATACGTATCAAATTGATCAGATGTTATGACACCTGCAGTAGACTCCATGTGTGCATAACATGAAGAAAAAATGTGTATTAAGTACTTGAAAAGTTAATCACTTTTTTTTAAGTGGAAAAACAACATTGCATATTTTCTCAAAAAGTTTTATGTAAAAGAATTGCAGGCATTCTATTATTCAAATTTAAATTGTATATCTAGGCAATGATGCCATGTTTTTTGCAAATTTATCCTGTTATTAATTTTAATTTTTGTTTTTGGTGATACAATTTATAACCAAAGTGCTTAATAAGCAATACTAAGTAGTATCAACAAAATGATGATTAATGAAAATGAGATTTTTAAATAATAATAAGTATAAATAATATTTGTAAATTTCCATTAAATGAAATAAAACAAAAATAATATTTTTTATTTACAATGTTTTTATCAACTGCTTCGTTTGTTACAAACTATTTTTATTTTACTATTAGAATTAGTTCAATTCTAGGACCAAACATCAGTGTCGGAAATTTTTCAAATCAATGTTAACACTTAAGGAGTCCATAATATTCTGCTTAATAACTATTAAAATTCGACGTTTGCAGCGTTGCCGGTCTTAGTACCTTTCGACAATAGTGTAGCACAGCAAATAACGACGGTGGTAGGTACTCAGTTAGTTTAAAAAGTGTCAGTAGAATGTTGGAAAGTGTGATTTTAAAAGAAGATATATTATATTTTTGTTATTTTTTTTAAATATTTCTATGATGATTGCTCCCACTTTATATCGTATATCGTGAGTATATTATTGTGTAAGAAAATATAGAAGATTTTGGTTGATACAAGTAATTATAGAAATTTTAACGATTAGCCTAATACATGTCACAAAACTATGGAGAAAATTAGTATATTTTTGTAATAGCTTTTATTTAACTAAAAACAATAAATATATGATTCAATTACATTTTTCTTTACACATATTGAATCCTTATTAGAAAGTAACCATTTACGTTTATAAAGCAGTTTTGGAATAAGCTTATGATACTGGGTCCAGTGGACCCGGTCATAAAGGCAAAACTATATAATTTAGTATTGTAGGTAATAAAGAGGTAAGTTGTAATGCTGAAATTTAAATTAAGAGTGAAAATAATTTCGTGTTTAGAAGCGTCGGAGGACGCAGGCAGCTTAATTTGTTTTCCATTACGCATATTATACAGTCTATATCTATATATAAAAATCAATTACTGTCCGTTAGTCTCGCAAAACTCGAAAATTGCTGGACCGATATTGATGAAATTTTTTGTGTGTATTTGAGTGAATTGGACCAATTGGAGATCCAAAAATTACCCGCCTGAAGTCGGGACGGATCGCTAGTATTGAATAAATATTCTTTTGTTTCTATTTCAATTATTACTTATTTCTAAACCAGACATACAGTACCAAATTATTTAAATATAATCCCCTTAAATTGCTAAATTATAAGCACAATACAAAGACAACATAAAGAGATCAAAATTACCTGCTGCTAGGAAATCGTCGAATTCATCAGGGTCGTAGAGATCCTCGAAAGAATCGTCGGAGCTGTCCTCGAACATGCGATCTACAAAGTCGGGGCGCAAGTGGGGGTTACTGTGGTCTTCATAGGTGTTCACAGTTAGCAACTTATGCGTTGGAAATTCCTGTGATCAAAGTTGGGTTCTTTTAGTTTTTACATACAAATTTATAAGCATTTGTCTAATGTGGTATGTTTGAGCAAACTAACACTATCAGTGAACTTAAACGGAGTCTGAACAAAGATCATATATTTATTATCAACTCAATAATTTTTAATATTTTCAAGCTTTAGTTTTTATATCAGTGTCAGATAAACTCATAAAATCATCCACATGTATGATGTGTTCGTTCAAAATATGCTTGAATAAATAATATAGGTCGGGGAAAGAGTTTCTACATATTTTGTTTGTACAAAATTGCAAAAAAATCTCTTTGGTTGTACTGTTTGTATCTGGCTGGTTTTAATATCAATACATATGGGAAATTAAGAAAATGGAAAACAAAAAGGAAAAACCAATTTCCCGTCATTTTTCAATTGTTTTTCTGTCCGCCAAAATAAGTGAATCTAATGAAGAAAATCGATACCTACTTTCTTAAGTTTTATTACAAGAAAAGGAAAATTGCGATTCAAGCCGGGAAAACTTTTTGACGTTTATGGACCTAATGTAGTATTAGTAAGAGTAGCGCAAAGTTGGTTCAAGCGTTTTCAGTTCGGAATTTTGAGGTCAAAGATACAGCTCGCTCTGATTCCTCATACGGATAAATATATATAAAGTTAAATAAAATATAATATAAAGTCGATACCATTTTTGAAGCTGGAGCAAGATCGGAATATTAGTAGTTACGACATAGCCAAGGAATTGAGGATTGACCACAAAACAGTTTTGACCCATTTGAAGTCTGCCTATACAAAAATGCTCGATATTTGTGTACCAGACGAGTTCCCTGAAAGAAACCTAATGAATTGTGTACTCATTTGCGTTTCTCTATTGAAACATAATGAAACCGAATCATTTTTTGAAAAGATTGATCACTGGTGATGAAAAGTGGATCACCAACAACAAGAACGTGGGAAAAACATCATGGTCAAAGGGTAGTCAAGCCCCACAGACTATAGTGAAACCCGGATTAACAGGCAATAAGGTGATGCTGTGTGTATGGTGCGATTGGAAGGGCATTGTTTATTATCAGCTTTTACCGCCGGTCAAAACCATCGATTCGGATCTCTACTGCCTACAACTAATGAGACTCAAGCAAGAAATTGAGAAAGAACGGCCGGAATTGATCAACAGAAAAGGAGTGATCTTTCATCATGGTAACGCCAGACCACACACATCTTTAGGTTTAACTCACACTGGCGCAGAGTCGAAGCGATGCGACACGTCATATTTTTCCGCCTACAGCATATTCATCTCTATTATTCTATTACGACGCTCGGCGGGAGTCGAGTGGATTCGCGAGTCGCCGCGCGTACTCGGGCGCAGTGACGCGTCAGGCGCCGAATCACGAATATTCGAGTCTCTGAACTGGTTCCGGCACTCTGCGTTCCGGACGCGCTTACGAGCATTGTCGTCGCCGTGCAAAATATGACGCGTCGCGTCGCTTCGACTCTGCGCCAGTGTGACTTGAGCCTTAGCCACTCAGTAAAAATTGAGAGAGCTTGGTTGGGAAGTGTTAATGCATGCACAGTCTCGACCTTGCACCCTCAGATTTTTACCTGTTTCGGTAACTTCAGAATTTTTTGGGTAGTGTTAGCTTAACATCAGGAGACGACTGTCAAAACTACTTGTCGTATTTTTTTATCAAAAATCCCAAGATTTCTACAGCAACGGGATTAGGTCACTGCCTATACAAGATATCGAACAAGTTATCGAACAAAATGGCACATAAGTATTATAATTAAATGTAATTAACCTTTGAACAAAAAAATGTCTTGAATTTGTACTTATATAAAATACGATGAAACTTTTTGCCCGACCTTATTATACATATTATTTAAAAACAAAAACATTGTAGTTAATACCTGCTGTTATTCGTTACATATAAACATAATATAAATACTTTCGCCGTGTAGGACTCGAACCCGCAACGCATTAAACATTTAAATGTTTTGCCACTGTGCTATCGAGTCGTCCTCTACGTTACCTCTACATTCGCAGCCGCAGTCGCTGCAAGTCTCAACACAAGAGGTCTCGGATGGGTACCAAGTTCCTCCACGGCTGCAGTCACCACTTCCTCCGATACGTTGTCACAGCCGCAAGCATCGATTTCCTGGTGAAACCGTTTTCGATTTATAATATCATTTAATTATTTCAATTATTATATCATTTTCAGTTCGATTTATTTTAATTTTTAATCAATCATTTTGAAATATAATATACTATTAATTTTGTAGGTACATTAAATTTTCCTGACATTATAATATGCAAACACCCTAATGTAGCAAAAATAATTTAACTAAAATCATATTTTAAATAAGCCAGAAACACTGTTGAGTGGAATGCTTTATGTGGCTTCATGTTTTTCGGATAAAATATAGCCTCGTTACAATACTAGACAACTTCAATGCCAGGGAATAGTGGCGTTTTTACCGCAAAATGAGCCCAACATTGACAAATAGCTTTTTTTACCTCTGCCTCATCCAGGATTGGGATCTTGGGCACACAGTAATTAAGTTTTATAAAATGGACCTCACCTTTACTGTACGTAACCATTACCGTTACAGCCTATTAAAGTCCACAGCTGAACATAGGCCTCTTTATATTGCCTCAGGGGATAGGGGAGGATATTTGCTATAGTTGCCACGCTTGGCAAACAGGTTGGCAACCGTTGTTTTTTACCTTTAGTCGTTATTAGGAAGACGCTGCTGCTCATCTCCTGATTTGTTTCCCTCTGTCGCCTCTTACAACACGCACGGGATGATAAGGAGTTACAACGCCAGTAAACGGTACTCTACGTCGTAAAATATTGATTAATATGAGATGTTGAGCAATATAAAAATGTCTAGTTCCACATATCTAGTTATCTAGTTCCATATACACTTCTCACAAAAATTAAGGGAGCAAAAAATTTGAAATTTTTATCCATTTATATCTAAGTCAAAAATAGGCGTATCGCATTCGAAATTTTCGAATCTTCAGGTCAAATTTTTTCAAACACCACGGTCTGAACATAATCCGAAGAAACACCACGAAAACAAAAAATCCAAATTTTTAGCCTTCTCTTTCTGGCTCGGAATTTTTTTTTTTTAGTTAAGTTGAAAGCTCCAGGGTGGCTTACGAAATTCAAAATTTCTTACGTTTTTTGCAATTTGTAGGTCAGTGTCAGGTTGTATGTTTAATAAAATATGATTCGCGACCGTGACGAGTATGTATTTACAGAATTATAATCATTATAATCATCAATACAACCCCCTAAGTTCGTATAATCCTATTGTATGGCTATTTCCAGAAAAACTCATTCAAAGGAATTATACGAACTTGGAGGGTTGTATTGGTGATTTTAATGATAATAATTCTGTAAACACACACTGGTTACGGTCGCGAATCATATTTTGTTAAACATTCAACCTGACCCTGACCTGCAAAGTTCAAAAAACGTAAGAAAATTAGAATTTCGCGGGCCACCCTGGAGCTCCCACCTTAATCAAACATATAAAGCATATAATCTGTTTATTCAGCTTCAATTTCTTTTTTAATTTTCCGCTACGTCCTTTTGTCGCGGAGATATCCGATATTGAACGAAAACAGACCCTTATATGTTCAACAACCAATATCTCAGCAACCAATGGCCGTACAGAAAATTGGAGGACGGTTTCAGAAACTGGAATAAATTTCCTACAAAATCCTGCCAAAACACTTCGAAAAAAAAATATTTTTTTTCCTCAACATCGTCTTGAAATAAGTGACTTTTTGCAGGTGTTTTGATAAACGACTGTAACTTTGCAAATATTACCTGCTAAATTTTTACAATTTTGGTAAAAAAAAACTCTCTCTCTCTCTAAGAATCAGATTTTTTAAAAGTATGTCTAGGCGGCATTTATCCGCGCCAAAAGTCACTCAGATAGTGACTCTGGTGGAAGAGGGGTACAGGTATCGTGAAGTCGGGAATGGACTGGGCGTTAGTTCCTCAGTCGTGTTTCGTGCAACAAAAAGAACCAGTCATCTTACCCGCTCGCAGTCGACTAATGAAGTTACGGAGAATTGACCGTAACTTAGTGCAGGTATTAGTACCGTAGTGCCTGTATAGTTGTATACATAGAAGTTTTTGCTCATAATAAGTGTCCTGAGTAGCATTCGATAGAATTTTGTAGCGTGGCAAACTTCACAGGCGTAGGCAAGAACTATGCTTAAGGTTAGCTTGAATGCCAATCTAGCTTGCTTTTCTAGGAATTTAAAGAACTTCTTAATATTATCCTTATCTATCCGAAACATTTTTACGTGGTAGAGCCATGCTGCAGCTATATTATGGTTGTAGCGCGAATCGATCGGCTCGACCGGGGTGGGACCACGCTCTTATAGAATACCAGCGTAAAATAGCAGCTTAATGCTGCTGTGTTTCGTATGGTGAGTGTAGAGATCCGGAGACCCTTTTTACTGGAAACGAGGCACTCTATCTTAGTCCTCAGGGGTGATAACGCATCTGCATTTTGATTCCTAATCGAGAATAAATGTAGATGTCTATGGGTCACAGCATCCACTTACCATCAGGTGGACTGTGTGCTCGTTTGTCACCCTTATTCTATAAAAAGAAAAACACTGTAGTATGGAGAGAGGCAAGAGTTTACATGTTGTGACATAAGGTGAGGCAAAGACTTGCCTCTAGGTTGTGACATGAGGCAAGGCGAAAAACTTATCTTGAGGTTGTTACACGAGGGGAGGCAAAGACTTACCTTGAGATAGTGGCACGAGGCGAGGCAGAGAGCGAACGGCTGCGCGGAAAGGGCAGCGTTGCCTCGCGCAGTGAGAGATGTGAGCGAAATGAGCCGAGCCGCTGCAGCTAGCCCGTTGTCGCTCAGTGCCGCCAGGTATGACACGTCCAACCGCGACAGATCCAAACACGAACGACAAATGGCGGAGATGCCCTCGTCGCCCACACCTGTAGTTAAAAAATTACAACAATTAGTATTTTTCATAACTGGGTTTAAACCCAAAGCCTGCGGCAACCCAGGGTGAGAAATTGTGTGATAAGAGAAGTGTGAGGTGTGCAAGATGGTGTTGTATATATTGACCCTTTTTCCTGGAAACGAGGCATTCCATCTTAGTCAAAATGGTGAAAACGCATCTTGATTCGTAATCGAGGATAAAAAATGTAGATGTCTATGGGTCACAGCAACCACTTACGATCAGGTAGACTGTGTGCTCATTTGTCACCACTAATTCTATAAAAAAAATTCTCATAGGTGGCATTTTACCAAATCTGCCACGCTTAGCCGACACGCTGGTAACTGCAGTATTTTTATAGTTGCGAGTTGTTAGCAGGAAGCTGCTGCTGCCCATTCCTGTTTCAGTATAGAGTAGAGCAGCTATGCAACAGTAGAACATGCAACTTCTATATAATATAACTATATAAATAATATTTCCCGAGTGTTAAAATTATTATTGTTACCTGCATGAGAAAAACTCCTCCTTGAATTACAGCTGGATGTATTCAATGCTGTTAACTTAGGACACGACTGCGCCACTTGTTTCAGTACAGCATTGGTAATGTAAATGTTTCTACTCAGATTCAAAATTCTTAACTCTGTTAATTTTGAGAGAGATTCACAGAACATTTCATTATCATAGTGTTTGAGGCCTATATCTAAAGAAGTGTATTCACTGAGTGATAGCTCTTGCAGGTTTGGCACTTTTTTGAGTATTAGGGGAATAATCTTCCACATTGTAACAGGGCAGGCATCCAGTTTGAGCGCGGTAATACACGGCATTGACTCTATCGCTGCAGTCAACACGGCACCTTGAAGACTGTAGCAATTGTAAAATGCAAGAGAGGACAGCTTCTGCGGGTTGGATCCGGTAAGGAACAGCCCAGTTACATGGGTGTTGTTTGCTACAGTCAAACTTTCTATGGAGGAATCGCTTTTCACTATTTGCACGAGACTAGAATCTGTAAGCTGTAACAAAAAAGGAATTTAATCAGATCGCATTTAATATTTATCACAGTTTAATAATATAATTAATACCTTAAGTAAAATTACATTTTGCATTAAAATATGTATTTACAAATACAAAAAGGCAACTATGTCATACATTGAATTGGTTTGTTTCTTCTGAATAACAGACTTGATAACATGCAAATTGAACAAATAAGGACATATGTCTAAAACTAGTGTTTTTTTCTTGTAATAGTTTAAGGTTTCATAATTTGTATCAATTCCTACGCCCAGAATAGACATCAAAGAAATTGCCACTAAAATGGCAAAAGTACATCGTTGATAATAGCTGGTAGCTGGATATATTATCAATTATGAAATATCTTGTTTTACATATATAAAATATTGCTGTGTAGTGGCGGTGTAAGCATAAGTATATATAAATAATGTATACATATGGGGGGGGGGGGTAATATATCAACCGTAGGTATAACTTAAATTAAAAATTTTAAAAATCCCCGACACCAAGAGAGCTGCTGATCTGCAAACGACTGAAGAGATTTTCTTGATATAAGCTAAGAACACTCTCGATTAAAAAAACTTAAAATCGGCTCATCCATTCAGGACCCATGATGCCACGGTCAGACACACAGATACACAGACAGAAAATAATAAAAAAGTGCTGCTTTCAACCCTGCCAAGCATAGCAACCATGTTAAATTCCCCCTATGAGGCAATCTACTGTGAGGGATTATGTTCAGAAATGGTCTTTTGATAAGCTATAATAAATTAATGACCATATATAAACATAGTATAAAACAAAGTTGCATTCCGTATGTCTTTCTGTTCATACACTCCTACACCACGCAACGAACTTTGCTGCTGTTTTCACTGTCAGTTAGATATTTTTTCACGAAAGGTTTATATAAAAATATATTCTAAATAAGCTTTTATGTAAGTATAAATGTTAATATTTTGTAACCAAGTCGCCAAAATATCGCGATGGCATGGCTATCTCCTACGGTTGACTCACATTAACTATTTTTTTCTTTAAAATTTACATATTACGTTATTTGCAACGCTTTTTACTCTTATTCAGTACCAATCCTTATTCAAATAAATATGTTAGTAATCTTGGGTATTAAATGTAGATTATAATTGCCTTTTACACCATATCATTTTACAGAATACTTTTTTAGAAATCGAAGATTTAAAATTATGCGTCACCGAAAAAATAACTCGCAGCTAAACTTTAATAAATAACAGTAATGATAAAAAAAATATGCTCTTCATATTTTCCTTGCTAAGCACACTTTTTTAATATCAATTGCATCTGTGCAATGTCGAGGCGGGTCGCTAGTGAATATATAAAAAATTTTTTTATTTGTAAAGCTTCGTCATAGGATATACGGAAAATAAATTCTAATAAGTTTCAAATTGGCATGTGAAACATTAGCACCCCATTCCAACATTATGAAGCTGATGCTTTAATTAAATGCCTCGTTTAAAAGTAAATTCTTTCAAATTTACAATTTCGCATTACAAATCTTCCAAATGTACTATGAGTTTATATTTAAATGTTATTTACCTTATTACATGATATAAAGGACAGGTGTTTTAATTGTTTGCAACCATAAATAAGTGGATTCCAATTCTTCGTATGCATCCCAACCACCTGCAATATAACATTCACTTTTTAACTAAAAATAATTTGGAACAAAACTCTCATTATGTGATAAAATATTATGTTATAAAAATAATGTTTGTTTGATTGCTTATGACACAAAACTTATATTTATAATAGATGTTAACCAAACAGCAAGGGCATAACCAGCAATTTTTTCCAGGGTAAGCCCAAGAGGCCGCAGACCCCACCCTGTTGAAGTATTGCTAGGCAGTATTTAATTTTTTCTCCAATAGCGTCAAAGACACCAAGTTTTCAGAAAGGTGGAGTGGAGGGTCACACTAGAGTGAGCCCCCTCCCCCTTTCCTTGATACACCCATGCTGCAAGCTGGCGAGCTGAATCATTTATATTGGCTTACTCAGTTAACACAAACATAGTTACCACCTGTATCTGATGTAAAGCTTCAAGGTTTTGTTTGAAGTTACATTTGAATTTTGAACACAATGTGATAGAGAAGATGACGAACACATCCAGATATGAGAATTAATAATAGTGTTTTCTACTAATATTAACATCGGTTTCAACAGTACCAGACAGTTTCAGCAATTAAGGCTGCTGCATTTCATAATTTATTAAAAACACCAGCAACTTGCCTTTAACTCCTCAAGGTTTGGACAGAATTTGCCAACAGTGTGTGCTGTGCGATCGTTGAGCGCGGTCCAGTTGTGGTCAATGTGAAGCCGAGTTATAGAGCCGCCTAGTTTCTGCAATACTCGCCGAAGCACGGCAGTTGTTAAAGTGACTGGCACATGCTGCCACCAAGACGTTTTGAAGATGCGCACGCCTAGGAAAATATAAAAAATAAAATACCAGACTTTACTCATCCCACTGCTGATACATGTGCTACAGATGGCAATGTTACCATCTCGCATATATCAGACCGAACTAAGCCATGTAGCGGCGGTGTAAGAATATCCACTACCCCATATTATCCCGTGGGTGTAGTAAGAGGCAGCGATACACAAATCAGGAGATGGGCAGCAGCTCCTAACTAATAACGACTAAAAATGAAAACTACGGTTGCCAACCCACTTGGCAACTATAGCAAATATCCCGCCTATGAGGCAATCTACGGGGAAGACCTTTGTTCAGCAGTAGACTAATAGACTGTAATGGTAACGGATATTATATCAGATGTGAAATACTGACACTGGCGACGGGGTACATCATTAAAAATGCGAGATATCTGGTGCTGCGATAGCCGATCTGGAACAGCTCTCGACCACCGGCACCACTAAAATTTTGAAATGCACATTTAAGTGCTGGTTTACGCCTTTCTGAGAAATTGAAAATATTTTAAGTACATAACATAACATAACATAAACACTCACGCCTGTCACCCAGAGGGGTAGGCAGAGACTACGGACTTCCATTTGGCGCGATCCTGACACACCTCTCTCGCCTCTTTTACATCCATATATCTACGCATACACGCTCGTCGGTTAAGGGTACTCCTAATCTGGCCCATTTTTAATGTATCGCCGATTTGGTCGATAAACCTTCGTCTAGGGCGTCCCTTCTCGACCCTGCCGTTCACTTCCGCAACATAAATTTGCTTTGTCACTCTTTCCTCGTTCATTCTTTCTACATGACCAAACCACCGAAGCATTCCTTTCTTAATCCTTGTCACAACGTCATCTTGCAAACCACACTTTTCTCTTATCACACTATTTCTCACCCTGTCATTCAGATTCAGCCCTAGCATACTCCTTAAGGAACGCATTTCTACAGCATTTATTCTACTCTCATGCTTCTTCTGCCAGACCCAACTTTCACTACCATACATTAAAGTAGGGACTAACACAGCATTATGAATTGCCATACGTGCCTTAGTTGACACATTCTGACTCCTCATAATAGCGTGTAGAGCCCCATTCACTCTATTTCCTGCGTTCACTCGTCGTTCTATATCCTTATCATATCTACCATCCCTGCTAAATAAACATCCCAAATATACAAACTCATCCACTTGCTCAATCAACTCCCCTTCTATTCTTATTTCACATAAAGTTTTACTTTCTTCTCTTTCAAAAACCATCACTTTCGTCTTACTTGCGTTCACTTTCATACCCCTTTCTTTCAATGACCAATTCATTAAAGTAACCATCATTTGCAACTCGGCCGCCGACGATGCAAATATGACTTGATCATCGGCGTACAAAAGGCATTTGACGGTTGACTCACCCATTCTCAACCCACATTCTTCAACTTTCAAAGTTTGCAAACAACTGTCCATAAATAAGTTAAACAGCCACGGGGAAGCCACACATCCCTGTCTGACACCTTTATGAATGCCAAACCAGTCCGAGTAGACCCCGTTGATCCTGACACAAGCACTAGAGTCCCTATAAAGAGATCTTAATGCCTGTATCAAGCCAGCGCTCAACCCAAATGAGTTCAGTGTTTGCCATAACACATTCCTGTCCACTCTGTCATAAGCCTTTTCCAAGTCCATGAACGCACAAAAAACTTTCTGGTTTTTAGCCAAAAACTTCTCCGCTATCATGCGCATGGAAAAGACTTGATCCGTACACCCCATCCCCTTTCTAAATCCAGCTTGCACATCCCAAATTTTTCCATCAGTTTCTTCCATAACTCTTTCAATTAACACCTTAGCATACAGTTTACCCACAATGCTAAGCAAGCTGATACCTCGGTAGTTTTTACAGTCCTGCTGCGACCCCTTTCCCTTATATATTGGGACTATAACGGCTTTGCACCAGTCTTCCGGTACCCGTTTCAGTTCCCAACATAAATTAAACAAGGTGTGCAGCAGGCCTGTAACCACACCCTCACCAGCCCTCAGCATTTCGAGTGATACTCTATCATATCCGGCTGCCTTACCTGCTTTCATGCTTTTCATTGCTTTCATTATTTCATCTACACTTATCTCCCTACCTCTCTCCACTTCTTCCGGAATTTCTATTTCACTTATTCCAGACGACTCTTCACTCTTAAACACGCTTTCAAAGTATTCCTTCCATCTCTTTAAATTCGAAACTTCATCATTCAGCATGCAGCCATTCTCGTCTCGTATAGCATTTATTCTAGGCTGTTTTGAATTTCCCCTGGCAGTTCTTACGAGCTTCCAGAACATTTTAATATTTGCCTGGAAGTTATCAGATATCCTTCTATCATTCTTATCTATCCTTTCTTGCTTTTTCCTTTCAACAACTTCTTTTACTCTCTTATTTATACGTCTAAAGTCTGCCTTTTTTCTTTCAATCTCATCATTCATACCGCCAGAATTACCAGCTTTAGTTGCTAGTAAATCTAGCCATGCTCTCTTCTTTGCTTCAACTTCCATCCGTACCTCATCATCCCACCACAATGTATTACTTTTCCTTTCATTCGTTCTCTTACTTACACCGCATACTTCGGTGGCTGCATCCACCAAAACTTTCTTAATATTATTCCATACATCCTTCAATTCTAAATCATTCATACATAATTCATTCAACCCACTTATATTTTCCCTCAATCTGCATTTATACTTCTCTTTCACACCTTCATCTTGTAACCTCTCTATTCTTATACGCTGTAACGCAGTGGTAGACACCGATGTCCGATGCCGCCAACGTCTGAATAGACCATTAATTCGACATAAGACCAAGTAATGATCCGTCCCTACGTTGGACCCCCGGTAAACCCTTGTATCTACCACTGCGCTCCTCATTCTTTCATCCACAATTATAAAATCTATCATGCTTCTATCATCCCCTCTTTCCCATGTATACATGTGAATCCTCTTATGGCGAAAGAAAGTGTTCGCCACAAAAAGATTCTTTTCCACACATACGGTGAGGAGGTCTTCACCATTCTCATTTATTCTTTCATCGCCAAACGTTCCTAATATCCTTTCATAACCAGACCTCTTCACCCCAACCCTTCCATTAAAATCTCCTAACATAATAATATTTTCATTTTTCTTACATTTAATCAACACCAGCCTTACCATGTCCCAAAACTGCTCTCGGATATAAGTGGGCTTAGACATATCTGGGGCGTACACCCCTAGCACAAACAACTTCTTTAAGCCCACTTTCATTCGCATCCACAGCAGCCTTGGGCTAACACATTCATACTCTTTCACACATTGACCCATTCTTTCTGAAAGGATGACACCGACTCCTTGGCATGCCCGCTCGGTCTCGTCTACTCCAGACCAGTAAGCGGTATACATGCCATGTGCAGTGACATCTCTTCCCTTTCGTTTCGTCTCGTTTACACATAACACATCTATTCCTCTATCATTCATCATTTCGCATACTTCATCCATCTTATCATTCATTGCTCCACATACATTCAACGTGGCCAGACGGGCCTCCGCAATCCACTTTTCGCCCCCCCGGGAGACAGGACGTGACGGGTGGCGAACCTCGTCGCCGATTTTAAGTACACTTGCAACAAATAGTAAATTCCTGATAATCCTATAATACGCCAGCGTAACTTGTCTATCCCTTCTTTCAGCTCCAGAATCTTCTCGTCAGTCCTCAGGGTGCGTGCGTTGTATGTTGCCAGGTCGAGACGTCTTAGGTGGCATCCGAACCTCCACCGGAGATTCTTAGCATCCACTGCCCTGCCGTTACCATGGTCGACGCCGTAGCTAAGAATAGCGGGGCCGCCGTGGACTGGGACCCGTCTTTTCGTAACTTTCATCATGGGGGGATATTTGCCATAGTTGCTACGCTTGACGAGCGGGTCGGCAACCACAGTTTTTTTATTGTTGCTTTGCTGTTATCAGGAAGATGCTGCTGCCCATCTCCTGTCTGTTTCCCACTGTCGCCTATTACGACACCCACGGGAAGATATGGAGTAGTGGATATTCTTAACCACCACTACACGGCAACACTGATTCTCGTTTTTTTTTTTTCGTTTCATGATGAATCCATGTGCTGTATGTTTTAATTATTTACACATTTTTTTCTTAATTCTACTTTTTTATAAATAGCTGTAGTTTTGTGAAACTATTTCTAATCTAATTAATATAAATATATATAAAATATATAAACACTCACGCCTGTCACCCAAAGGGGTAGGCAGAGAGTATGGACTTTCATTTGACACAATCCTGACACACCTCTCTCGCTTCCTCCACATCCATATACCTACGCATACACGCTCGTCGGTTAGAGGTACTCTTGATTTGGCCCATTTTCAATATATCGCCAATTTGGTCGATAAACTTTCGCCTAGGGCATCCCTTCCTGACCTTGCCGTTCACCTATGCAACATAAATTTGCTTTGTCACTCTTTCCTCATTCATTCTTTCTACATGACCAAACCACCGAAGCATTCCTTTTTTAATCCTGGTCACAACATCATCTTGCAAACCACACTCTTCTCTTATAACACAATTTCTCACTCTGTCATTCAGATTCATCCCTAACATACTCCTTAATGACCGCATTTCTACAGCATTTATTTTACTCTCGTGCTTCTTCTGCCACACCCAACTTTCACAACCACACATTAAAGTAGGGACTAACACAGCATTTTGAATTGCCATGCGTGCCTTTTTGGACACATTCTGACTTTTCACAATAGGGTGTAGAGCCCCATTCACTCTATTTCCTGCATTCACTCGTCGTTCTATATCCTTATCCTGTCTACCATACCTGCTAATATAAAATATAAATAATATTTCAGAATGAAACATTAATCACTACACTCTACACTCATTCCTAAGTGGTGCCGCCCTGGTGGCAGAAAAAATCGTGGAAGCTCTCATTAGCAACCAGATCGGCGGCTAAAGTACCAGACATCATGCATTTATGATGATACTTTCCATCACTGTTTCACCACTTTACACTTAATAATAGTAGAAAATTTCACATCTACCATTTATGCTCCCACATTATTATCCTGATATTTCACATATCGGAGTCTTACGATACCTATAAATGAAAATGACTTAGAATTTAAAAGCCTACTTTTATAAAGTTAAAAAAAAACATACCGAGAAGAAATTCTTGGATCAGATCTTGCCATCTCTTGCTAACTCTTTCTGAACGGATAAGGTCTCTTATAGGTACATAACTGAGCACATGATGCATGCAATCTCTGTTAAGTATATCCAATATGTTGAAGCCTGAATCAGCTTCAGAGAAGCCCTGTTGTTGCTCATTCTGTGGAACACCATATTTCTTTGAACAATATTAAACTAGTATCACTCTAAAGAATATTATGTAGATATTCTAGTAAGCAAACTCACTGCTAGTGTGTTTGAATCATCTGTATCCTTTTCTGTGTTACTAGGTGAGTCTTGTATAGGTACATCTGTAAAATAAAATAGTGTAAAAATTAATGTTATTTTTTAATTATTCATTTAATATTTGCGTAAGCTATTAAAATAATAAAATATATGCACAATAAATTGTGAGCCGTTGCTACTCAAAGGTTATATTCACTCGATGTAAATTTCACATTATGCGAGTAATCCGTGACGCCGTAAAGTACGCCGCAAAAGAATCAACTACCCTATATTATCTTGTAGGTGTCGCAAGAGGCAACTGAGGGAAATGAAACAGATAGGTGGCATCTTTCTTATAATAATAAAGCCATTTATTCAACAGTACGTAATACAATTTCTTAATATCTAAGTCATATAAAATCTAGATTGTCTTCTGCTGATTGCCAATCGGCAAAGGCCTCCTCCAACCTTTTCCACTCGTTTCTATCCTTGGCAACCCGGCTCCAAGTCACACCCGCGAATTTGACCAGGTCGTCCTCCCATCTTTGGCGGGGTCTCCCCCTCTATCTTATTCCCTTCCTGGGGTACCATTCTGTGACCTTCCTGCTCCACTTTTCTTTCCCTCTACTCATATGCCCAACCCATTTCCACTTTAATTTCCTGACTTTTGTTGCTATGTCCCAAACCTTTGTGTTTTTCCTAATGTCTTCTAACCTGACTCGATCCTTTTTCCTGATTCCCATCATGCTTCGCTCCATCGAATGCTGGCATATGTTTAATTTCTTACTGTTTAATTTAGTAGGAGCCCATGTTTGAAATCCGTTCATCAATACAGGAAGAATGCATGTGTCGAATACTTTAGATTTAATAGATATGTGCAGTTCTTTATCTTTCACTATTTCCTTCATGTTCCAATATCTTTTCCATCCGTTTGCTACTCTCCTGTAGATTTCTTTTTCCATGTTGTCTGTGGGTGAGATCATTTGGCCCAGATAGATGTATTCATCAACATATTCTATCTCACTTTGGCCAACCCTGATGTTTTCATTCTTAGGTCCGTTGGTCATTACTTTCGTTTTCTCCATGTTCATTTTCAATCCCACCGTGTGACTTTCTAATGCCAGATCATTTGCCATGACATTCAGTTCATGTGGGGTTTTTGCAAAGAGAACGATGTCGTCTGCAAATCTTAAATGTGTTAACCAGGTTCCATCGATACTGATTCCATATCCATCCCGATTTAGTCTTCTAAATATCATTTCAAGGGCCGCAGAAAAAAGTTTTGGGGATAGCGGGTCGCCCTATCACACACCTTTTTGTATGCTAAATGGTTCTCCTTTCTTTTCTAACTGTATGCATGCTGTACGTTTCTTGTATTTTTCTCTCAGTATCCTTATGTACTTGCTTTCGATACCTTGTCCTTTTAGGGCCTGCCATATCTTATTGTGAAATAAAGAGTCGAAAGCCTTGCTGTAGTCTATATATGCCATGTAATATAATTGGTTGTATTCATGGGATTTTTCTAAAATCTGCCTCATAACATGTATATGGTCCAATACTGAGTACCCTCTACGAAAACCTGCTTGCTCATCTGGTTGGTTGTCGTCTAATTTTCTTTCCAGTCTTCTTAGCAGTATTTTCGCAAATATTTTATATAAGTTGGACATAAGGCTGATTGGGCGATAATTACCTATATTAAGTTTATCACCCTTTTTATATAACAATACTATATTAGATTGCGTCCATTGTATCGGGATAATTTCGTTTGCGAAAATTTCATTAAATAGTTTCGTGATAACTGGTAACAGGACATTTTTTGCCATTATTAGGATTTCATTTTCAATGCCATCTGGCCCTGGGGCATTGTCTTTACTTTGGGACTGTCATGCTACTTCTACCTCTCGTTGCAGTATATAGGGTATGCTCTCATCCTCATCATCGTTTAGTACTATTAATTCGCCAGGTTCTTCTTGTGTGTTCTCATATAATTGTTTATAGTATGATGTAGCAATATCTTTTATGTCTGATCTTCTATTTTGTTCTATTCCTTTCTCATTTCTAACTTTTGTAACCCAATCTTTTGATTCTGACAGTTCTTTATATGCTTTTTTTTGTTCCTCCTGTTCTAATGATTTGCTCTTCTATTTTTTTTCTTCTGTTTTGTTTTATATCCCTTTTCATACTCTGTTTTATATTTTTACTCAGCTCTGATATGCGTTTTCTACGATTCTCTGTCTCTGGAACTGATTACTTGTTTCCTTGCTTCGAGTAGATTTTTTGTTTTTATTGATAAATAGCTTTTCTTTGTGCGTATGTCTCTCTATAGTACTGTTTAGATTCTCATAGAATTCTTCAATAGTCTTTTTGTCTGCTTGTTCAGTTGGAGAGTAAACTTGCACAATAGACCACATATCTTCGTAATTGGGTAATTTTATATTTAGCACTGCTAAACGGTCCGAAATTCCTATGAACTCATCAACATATTGTATCATGTGGTTTTTGAGAATAAATCCTACCCCATTTTGGCCTTCTTTTTCGCCTATGTGATATGGAAGGAAGTCCTCGTATTCTTGTATGTTTTCTCCAGGTCGTCTTACTTCACTCAGACCCAGAATGTCCCATTTGATATCATTTAGTGCTTTATTTAGTTCTGTTAGGCTCTCGTCCGACTTTAGGGTTAGAACATTAAGTGCTGCAATTTGGATACTTTCTTTAAAGGGGGCATTACATTTTTCTTTGTTGTTAATGTTGTTGTTTTTCTTGTTGTTTTCTAGTGTGTTTGTTTAGTAGTGTATGTTTGTTTGGTTTTTTGTAGGTTGGTGGGTGGTGGTCTAATTCCCCACGGGGACCAGCCGGGTTGGGGAATGTTAATTTGGTTTTGGTGGTATTCGTTGTTTTACTGTTTTTATTTCGACTACCGCCTATTTCTAGTTTTTTGATGTCTCTTCTATATTCGGATTTGATTGGCTTCTCATTCTTTCTGCTGGGTTGATTCTCGACATTTTAGCAGGTTGGTATAACTTGGGTTCTCCAGGGGCTTTGCTGAAGTTGTCCGGGGGAGTAGAAGGTGGGGTGGATTGGGCTCTCTTCCTCTTTTCAGGTTCCATTTTGTCTCGTATAATTAGTTTGCCATTCCTTATTATTGTATACTTTCCAGATGCTCTGGCTTCCTTCCTTTTTGGGATAAGAGCCTTTCTTTCTTCCAGTTCCTCTTTAGACAGATCTTCTGTTACGTAGACTCCTTCTGGGAATTTTTCAAGATTTCGTTTTTTCTCCATGTTAAGGTACATGACATTTTTATAGGTCTTATCTCGCCTTCTGTCTTTTTCCCAACTCTATATATGCTACTAAGTTCCCATTTATCCCAGTCGTGTTTCTCTTCCTCAGCTTGTTCTGTTGTGCAGGGAATGTTGAATAGTTCTATTACAGTATTCATTAATTCTAGATTGTTATTTTCAGTTTCTTCAACCCCGTTCAGTAAGACATTATTTTTCCTTGTTTCAAGTTCCAGATATTTTACTTTCGATCTTAGTAGCAAAATCTCAGACTTCATAGCTTCGTTTTCCTTTTTTATTGGTAACAGTTGCTCTTCAATAGTTTTGCTGATATTCTCGGTTATGGTTTGGGTTTGTTTATCATTTTGTTTTTCAATCTCTTCCTTTATAGTGGCCAACAGCATTTTTGTTTGTTCGTCCATACTTGGTACCGATTTTCTACTAAATTGGTAGGTTTTGGCTTGACCTGGCAACTTTTGTGGGTTTTGACAGTAGTTGGACTTCCAATTTTTGTCTATGGTATTTAATAACTTCAAAATAATTTTGCAAACTTTCGATGGTTATTTCACTGTACTTAGCACTTCCCACGAAAGGATTATTAGTTTAAATTTATCAACACTGTTTGTTCGCTATTTTAAGTGCACTTTTTTTCCGATCGGTCACTTTTGTACTATTGTTACTAATTAAAATGCGGAGACGATCACTACGTAATGTTCAGTTTGACAGTTGACAGGTGAAAAAAGCATCTTTCTTATAACAACTTAAAATAATAAATGGTCTATGGCCAACGGTCGAATGGTTAACACGTACTTGTGAGTGCTTTTCGGTATTTGGTTAATTCTCCTTAATTTCCTTATTTTGTGGTGGTGGATTCCTCTGCTGTAAGTCTACGTTTATAAGTTATAGTTATTTCGAACATTAAACCCAATTATGGGTGACGAAACGGGGTCTCCTCGTGAGAAACCCCCTGACCCTCCCGATGAAGACATGTGCTTTGGAGTAAGTGACAATAATGATTGTGGCCGTGGTAAAAAAAGACACGCTGAGACTCGATCATTTGATCCAGTAATATATAAAAAGAATTCTGTAATTGATTTAACAGCGTCAATAAACACAATATATAAACATCCCTGCCTAGAACAAAATCTTAGAATGTATGGTCCAAACGACCAAGGCCCTTTTATTGTCCACATCTCCCGGGCTACGTCAGATCCTAGAATAGGGCTATCACTTCGACCAATTAAAATAGGTTTATGCTTGTCTAAAAATAAAATAGAAAACATCAAAAGAGGGGGAGTCAAAAGCGTTGGCAGAAATCGCATCTCTATTGAATTCTGCTCAGCCGATGAGGCTAACAAATTTCTTAATAATCCAATGCTTGCAAAAGAAAAATTGATTGCAACTATTCCATCCTATAATGTTTCTCGAATGGGTGTCATCCGCGGTATCCCTGTGGATTGGTCAATGGAAGAACTAGCAGAAGCTGTTGAGCTTCCTCCTGGTTGTGGTAAAATCCTAAAAGCTCGCCGTCTTCAGAGAAAGACTTTTGCTGAAGGGTCAACATCCCCAATATGGGTTCCCACTCAATCTATTGTTCTGACATTTGAAGGTCAGTTACTCCCCAAATATATATATGCATTTTACACATCCCTTGCTGTTGAAACTTATCAACTCCCCTCCATCCAGTGCAAACACTGTTGTCGATTTGGCCACATCGCAGATCAATGCCGTTCTAAACCACGCTGCTTCCGTTGTGCCCAAGAGCATACTGGAGCAAGTTGTTCTGTTCCTGAAAGTGAAGCCACTTGTCT